CTTGTGAATTATTACATCGGAGAGAGCTGGGACACGTTTTAAAACAAAAATTTGGCAGGAAGACTAAAAGGGAGAAAAGTGTAAGCAATATCTGGATAGAGATATCTTTTGTCTTTAAATTTGTTTATCATTTTCAAAACAAACCGTCAAAAGACTTTTCAGTGAAGTATCATTTTCAGAGAAAAATTTACATTTAGGATAAAAAATAAACAAATCTGCAAAGAAAAAACTTTCTAAAAGACATAAAGCTTCTAATTCAGAGCAAACTTTTTTTTGAAAGATTTTACAGTTTTTTTGGATTGCTTAAGCACGATTTTCAAAACAGGGCCCGTGTTTTCAAAACACTACACACAATTAGCACAACCACACACCCAATTAGCAAAACACTACAGATCCTTTGCATAATTAAACACTCCTGCAAAAACGATGCACTTCTGTTTAAAAACCACACTTTGTTACCATATGAAACACACACGTTTCACATTACTGTACTCTGTTTGCACGAGTTACACTCTGCTGTGATAAACCTAAAACACTTTTAGCACTTCTACTTCCCTATGATTAGAGTTGGCTACCATCAACAAAGTACAAATATAATGTAAATTCACTAAACACTACACAAGACCAATGTTGCAGACTGAAGAAACTAATTTATTTCTCAACACGCCCAAAATGTTGACATGGAGATTCATTATACTGTAACAAAATGTCACTTTACGTATTGTACTGTAAGTTTACTGTAAAAAACAAAACAAAACAAAAACTAGACATTGTCTCTTCGCCTAGCTGGATCTGGCCAGAGAATTTCATCAACATTGCAGGCAATGTTGTCATTAGCAAGACACCTTGGAAAGAAACGTCTTGAATGATGAATCCATCCTTGCATTGCTGCTACCTCCATCTGGTCACAGGTCTCCTCCATGGCTTGGATGAGGGGTACCTCAGCCTGGAGACGGAGATCATATACCTTCCACCGCCATGCCGAGAAAAACTCTTCTATAGGGTTGAGAAATGGAGAGTATGGTGGAAGATATCGGACGGTGAAATGTGGATGTTGCTGAAACCAGTTCTGAACCAGAGCAGAGCGGTGGAAAGACACATTGTCCCAGACAACAATGTATTGCATATGATCGATTTGATTTGCTGCTGTTATGTTGTGCAATTGGTCCAAGAATGTAAGTATGAGTGCTGTGTTGTAAGGGCCCATATGGGCATGGCGGTGGAGGACCCCATTCTGTGTAATGGCTGCACAGAGTGTTATATTACCCCCACTTTGCCCTGGGACATTGACTATAGCTCTGTGGCCAATGATGTTTCTTCCCCTCCTTCGTGTTTTTGTCAGGTTGAACCCAGCCTCATCTACGTAAATGAACTCATGCTGGATCTCCTCTCCATCCATTTGTAAAACTCTCTGAAGAACAGTGTCAGGCAAAATTGTGTTCAGTGTAGATCTAGTATACATATCACAGTACAGTAAAAGATTATGAGACAGTATGCAAGATCACAATGCTTAGGTGAATACATACCTCTGCATAATCATGCCGCAGTCGTTTCACCCTTTCGGAATTGCACTCGAAAGGCACTCGATAAATTTTCTTCATTTGAATATGGTTTTTTGTTAGGATGCGTGCCAGTGTTGATGTTGAGACCTGATGGATATTGTTGAAACCGACGTCGTTATTGACAATGTTAGCTTGGAGCTGATTGAGGGTTATAGCATTGTTGGCCAAAACCATGTTTACTATCTCCCTCTCTTGCTGTTCTGTGAACATAGGAGGCCTTCCCTCTCGCCGTTCCTGACCCTCAATCCTATGTAGAAAAAAAACTCAGTAAACAATAGTACAGTAATTTCACAGGAAAAGGTAACAGAAGTGCTGATAGTGCATAGAATACAGTACTGTAAGCAGTTGCTGAAACCGTGCAGATGTTTTTGATATGATGATATTTTTACAATACCTATTTTTCCAGTCGAAATGTTCTTATCACACTTGCCACTGTGTATTGGCTTAGATTTGGCTGTACTCTCAGTCCAGCCTCCCTCATCGTCAGGCAGTGGTTGACAACGTGGTCAACCAGTGTTGCGCGGATCTCATTTGTCAGATTCGGTCCTCTTTGAGCACGTTCTTGTCTTCCTCTTCCTGTTCCTCTACCTCCAGCATGGCCTCCATCTCTTCCTCTTCCGTTGATACCTCCTCTGTTGATTCCTCTTCCTCCCCTTCCTCCTCTTCCTCCTTGTCCATCTCCTCCTCCTTGTCATCCTCCTCCATGTCTTTGTCCTCCTCCTTCTCCTCCACCTCATCCTCCACCTCGTCTTACTATTTTTCTGACTCTTTCCATTATGCTAGAAGACCGATGAACTCACCTGCTGCTTTTTATAGTGCTTATACACCTGATTGGTGTGTCTACAATTAAGCAAACCAGTGTTTGCACACCTGATGACTGTGTTGAATCAATTGGTTGGAAGGTGCGGTAATTTGACAGTCAGTGCTTTGGTATAGCAAGGAAGTGACTTCATAATAGATTTTTGTGTGTAATGTATGTTAAGTGTGTTTAGTGTTTTGCAAATCACTGTGTGTAGAGTTTTGCAACAAGTGTGAGGTTGACAATGTGCTTATAGTTGTGCAAATATGGGCTGATGTTTTGCTTCTTGAGTGTAAGGTTTTGCTAATAGTGTACTACTTTTAACTTTAGTGTGTAAGCAATCCAAAAAAACTGTAATATAGATTGAAGCATTCAAGTTCCCTTCCAAGTTAATGTGTTCAGTTTAAATAAACAATTAAATATGTTGTATGCTACCAAATCTTCTTACAGTCTATGCAATGTTTCAAATATAACAAACAAAGAATAAATATGAACAGCATTGAAGAGGTCCTTTAAGTACAACCATAGAAATGAGGAAGAAAAAGCAAGAAGTGTTTACATAGATGCACACAGTACTTCAAAATATTCAAAACTTCATTTTTTGGGTTTGTTTGTTTGTTTTATCACACCTAAGCAACAAAGTTGTATTTATTGAATATATTTCTGAAACAACATTGGATTGATTTTTAAATTAAGCATTGGGAAAAAAAGTAGCATAAGTTTCCATTCAGCCCCCTTCACTCTGATGAACTTAAATAAAATCCTGGCTTTCACCTGACAGAAGTCATTCAAATAGTGAATAGTCAATCTGAGAGTAAATTAATCCCAGTATAAATCCAACTGTTCTATGAGAACCTTAGAGATCTCTTTAAGAGCAAATAGCATCATGAAGACCCTAAATCACAGCAGACAGGTCAAGAGGAAACATTATGAGAAGGTTAAAGTTATTTTCTAAAACAATTTTCCAAACTTTAAACATTTCACTAAGTTTTTTTCAGCTCCTCCTCTGAGAATGGAAGGAGTATGGCTTAACTGCACTGCAAAAAATAGATATAAATAAGTCATTTTTGCCTAAATGAAGTGCATTTTGTCTTGAATTGAGGAGGTAAGTGTACGGAAGAGGATTAGGGCCACTGAAAAAAAAATATGATTTAACTGATTTTTAAATTTTATTTCAGTATAACATGGGAAAAAAGTCAGAATTCTGACTTTTTTCTCAGAATTCTAACTGAATTCTGACAATAAAAAAGTCAGAATTCTGAGAAAAAAGTCAGAATTCTGAGATTAAAGTCAGAATTCTGAGAAAAAGGTCAGAATTCTGAGATTAAAGTCAGAATTCTGAGAAAAGTCAGAATTCTGAGATTAAAGTCAAAATTCTGAGAAAAATGTCAGAATTCTGAGATTAAAGTCAGAATTCTGAGAAAAAGGTCAGAATTCTGAGATTAAAGTCAGATTTCTGAGATTAAAGTCAGAATTCTGAGAAAAAGGTCAGAATTCTGAGATTAAAGTCAGAATTCTGAGATTAAAGTCAGAATTCTGAGAAAAAAGTCAGAATTCTGACTTTTTTCCCATACTAAACTGAGATAAAATTTAAAAATCAGTTAACTTTTTTTTCCCCCACTGGCCCTAATCCTCTTCCGTATAAGTGAGACACTTACAATTACAATAAGAAAAACAAAATTATTTGTCTTATTTCAGGTGCATAATATCTAATTATCTTATTTTACTGGTAAAAATAATCATTCCATTTGCAAATCATCTTATTCACCTACTCAAATTAAGGGTTAATACACTTAATTTAAGAATTTTTTTAACCTTTTTCTATATGTGTTTTTGCAGTTTACTTCCCTGCACAGTCATGGCTGTCAGCTGGAAAGGACAGGATGGAACAGGATTGCATAAACCATTGAAAATGCAAAGAGAGTCATGGTGATGCTGAATGAGCTGCAGAGTTCCACAGTTCAAAGAAATAAAAAAGTAATACAATTCCCTTTAAAAAGTCTTTTGAAAGATGCTCTGATTAAATAAATGTTTTAGCCCATTACTGTACTACTCATCACTAGACACAGTTTAACAATGGTTACACACAGTGATGGCAGCATTATGCTGTTGGGATGCTTCTCTTCATCAGAGCAGGGAGAGTTGGTCAGTGGATGGAGGTTAATATTAGGTAAGCTAGTAAAGAAACACCTTTGCTTTACATTAGTTAAAACCTTTAAAGAATTTTTCCTTTCTTTTGAACTATAACTAAGCCTTAATCTGTCATGTAGTTGTTTTATTTTTTATGGTAAAGATGGATCATTTCCATAAGTATCATTACTTTTTCAAGAAATTTGAAAAAGTAGAGATTTGGATATGGAGGATTGGTGTTTTGAATATAGATTTTATGATAACAAAAAACATAATGGTCAAACAAATAAAGACATTAACAATGAGGAGATGGTAAATCTAGAGGTAGACTGGTTTAACAGTAGGCTCCAAAATTTGGACTTTAATAAACCTCCCTTTGCTTCAATATTTCCGGCTGATCTCTCTGCTTTTGGACTTAATTTATTACTCCATCCGAGCAGCCAAACCCAGACAGCCACATAAACCAATCCCTGAATTTCTCCGTGTTTTCCAGTCTGCCTCCGTCTCGCCCCACTCACACTCTCAGAGCGCGGCGCTGACAGCCACTGATCAACCCACTTTCTCGGGGTTAGTGTCTCCATGCAAGACTGCTGAAGAAGAACCTCAGACTTTCTTTATATTCCTGCAAATCAGCTCACCCGGATAAAACCGTCCACGGCTGCAAAAAATCACTAATAGAAGTGAAAACCAAAAATCTTTGAAGTTCTTTTTTCCCCCTTTGAATCTCCACTGTATCTGCACAACAATGTCTGGAGAGGACGCACCTGCCCAGCAGCAAAACGCCGTGGACCAGAAGCAGGAGACCAAGCCCGCAGAGGAGCCTAAAGCCGAGCCTCCAAAGACGGAGTCCGCGGAGGCAGGGGCCACCCCGGCGGCGGCCCCCGAAGAGGAGACCTTCACCTACCGCGCTCTGGTTCTCACCGGCTACGGAGGCTATGATAAAGTCAAGCTGCAGGTGAAGAAGGGGAAACCTGCACTCAAAGCTGGAGAGGTGCAGGTCCGGGTCAAGGTCTGCGGGCTCAACTTCGCCGACCTGATGGCCAGACAGGGTCTGTACGACCGGCTGCCATCCCCGCCGGTCACCCCGGGGATGGAGTGCTCCGGGGTGGTGGAGGCTGTCGGGGAAGAAGTAACTGACAGAAAAGTAAGCAAACATTACGCCAGCCTTTGTTTTACATTGAATTAAACATTTTTTTCTTTGTTTATTTCCATGTTGTTTAATATCAGCTGGATTTTGGGTGCTTTGTGGGCATGGGCGTGTCAGGCAGCAGCGCACCCTCATTGTGTCAGCGCTACATTGTTATAAACTTCAAGCTCCAAGGCTTCAATAATAAAGATCAGAAAGATTTTATTTTTTAACAAAGGCAATAGAAATCTCCAAATTGTGCATTTTGATTAGATGTTAATGTGCAGCTTTTCAGTTTGTCCCCTTCTATGAATTAATAAGGTGCATAAAAGTTGACTTTATGGGGTTATTTAAAGGATAATTTAAAATAGATATCTGTAGAATAGATCTAAAGTAATAAGATAGCATAAGTCGAAAGGCCAAAGTAAACAGGCGTCGTCCTCGTTTATCTTTTCTCTAATTTTTCCTTTTTAACGGGGAAGTTAAGCCAACTTCTACTATAGGTTAGAAATAAGTTGCAAAGATGCAATCTGTTATTTCTGTCTATTCAAGCTGTTTGTTTCAAAAGCGTAAAGCTAAATAAGCCAATTCAGATCCATGGGATGCCTTCCATCCTCGCTGCGCCCACGCTGCTGTGCGCTTTGGTGTGCGCCACGGATTGGAGCGCAGCACTCAGCTGGCAGCAGCTAGACAGGAAATTAGGCATTCTTGCTTTCAAAATTAAAGCTATACATACTGTCTAGATATTTTAATTGTTTTATTTTATTTTGTCCCTCTGTATGTGTGATCACACCTAAAATATGAGCAACGCTGCACAATAAAAGTGATTTATAAAGCAAAAACTTGCAACTAAGAAAGGATATTTCAGAAAATGCTGACTGTCATGAATTCAAATGCACCGATTTTGTTGGGAAAAAGTGATTTATTTTGGAGATAAATCGGAAATAATATTAGTGGTTGATGTAAATTGACGTCGTTGGAGGAGATTGGAGTAAGCGACGCCCTTTGTTAACGGGAGAGACGGTGGCGCACAAACGCGCGGAGTGGAAAAGGGCGAGGCGCCTCACAGACAGACACCATGAGGTGTGAAGTCGTTGATTCCCCCTCATAGTTACAAGCCAACATGCTGTTATACAGTTGCAACCTTATTAGACATAATAAAAAAAAGAAAGAGAAACATAACTAAAAATGAAATCTCACAGCAAGACTCAGGAAAGTATTCAAACCCGCACATTGTTAATGAGAGGGCTTTAAGTGATGAGTCACAGGCCCATGGTAGCTCATGGCTCTCTTCTGGCTGCATGGCATCACCAAGGCAACATCTGTGAGAGGCAGTTTAACCTAACGCAGCATGATGATTCACATTGTTTGAGCTCCATTCTGGATAATACAGTGATTAGCACATGTATGATGTAAGCAGAAGCTGACTGATTTCACCTGACTGGGTGTGGCTCGGATGGATGGATGGATGGATGGATGCTGATTCAGGGCTGTGCTACGAGAGTTCAGCGGGTTCATTTATTTATTGCTGTATTCCTCATTGTCACTGATGTTCATTGAATTAAAGGTCACAGACGACTCGCATACATGCATATGCAGCTTGTCAGCACACTCCCACCTCCACTAACAGCCTTTTTTTTTTTTTCGCTAATTGAATTAAGAGCCAAATCCTCTGATGACTGGAGTTCTCTGAGATTTTTTTTTGTAACTCAGAGAGATTTTTATGACCACAAGTTGCAAGCTTTTTTTGGGGAGGTTCACTTTCTGTTGCTCTATCCCACAAACACAAAGACATTGGGTGTGTCTGAGTAGTTTCTAAGAAAACTCCAAACAGATTATGCTTTTTGAACAGATTAAGCAACATATGCAGCAAATCAACTTGATCTTATTTTGTCTTTTTAGTATTTCATGATCCATAATTTGTTTAGCTCACTGACAGATGAAATAAGCTTTTAAGATGGTATTCATACACCTATGAATCAAGATAAGAGAGAAAAAAACTAGATTTTTTTTGGGGAAAGAATATTTAAATAAATGTAGATTTATGTTTGATAGCTTACATGTTTCCTAGCAGGATTTAGTCTGTTAGTAAATTCTCTGGTTGAATCCACTTTTTATTTTACTTTTTATTTTATTTTTTGCAGACTTCATACCTTACTGTATTCCTTTTCTTTTCTTTTTTTGCTAAATAAGCATTCAGATGCTTGGTAATGTTAAGTGAGTCTATAGTGAGCTCACCCGACATGACCTAAGCAGGATTGTAGGGGGAAAGAGTAACAGAGAGTAAGCAAGGAGGGAGCGGAAACATCACAAATCACTCTGAGGCTCCCATGATGCCAAATACCAGCAGTTTTTTAGTTTTTTCCTCAAGCCTTGTTTAAAAAACATGGAGGCTCTCTCTGTTGGTGAGTTTTGGAGGGATCTGACCCATATGTTCCCAATTACCTCCCTCTGGCCTACATTGTCAGTCTGGTATTTCCTCCATCAACCCCCCCCCATCCCTATCTATCTATCCTCAAGTCATCTAGACAAACCCCTTCTACCCACTGGACTATGACTAAATATCTCTAATGACAAGCAAAGGGACAGCTGTTGGTCGACTGAAAGGACACAATCAAATTTTTCTAGACATTTCAGAAAAGTCAACTTGTTTAAATGAGTATGTGATAAATACCACATGTAAATTGCCTTGACATGCACACATCAGCGGTAGAATCATCATGCCTCAATAATATTTTCATGAGCAGCTTTTTACTGACATGCTGGGTTAACGCTAAAAGGTAAGCTCTCTTTTTTTATATAACCATTGACAAATTAACTTGAAATCAATCTCAGTGTGGTTCAAGCATATGTTGACAAAATCAGAAAAAAAGTTATTCACCCTGCAGTGGTGATATTAGCATTCAATAATGCAGTGATAACACAATTTGCAATAAATCCTATTTTTGATTGGTAATTTGGATGTTGAACTTACTCTCTGTCGTTCACAGCATCTTGGCAACTTTTAAATTTGTAGAAACAGTGCTTGCATAAATGTTAAACTGTGTGAGCCCCTCCTTATGCCCCCACTCATAAATTACAAACAGAATATAAGATTCCAGACCTAGCCAAAAAAACAGTCTCTCTCAAAACCCATTGGCAGGGATGTCTCTGTCCAATAATAATATTGGATATCGGTTCAATATTTGCCAAAAAACTAATATTATCGCAGATTTTCATGCTGATAGAAACACTCTGTTTCTGTCAAAAGTTTTTGTAACTCATAGGTTAATTTTAAATGGGTCCGGTGTTTTCATAACTTTGGTGGTTGACTTGGTTACCCGTTTTTAGTAATATTACTTGGTCAAGCCTTTCCTAACTTCTACAGCATAAAATAAGTTATAAAAGTTGGCTTGATTCGTTCTAATATTGTATCGGGTCAATATCAGTATCAGCCAGCTCTCAAAGCTGCAATATCGGTATCGTATCGGAGAGGAAAAAAATTGTATTGGAGCATTGATACCCATTAGCTAGTGTCCCTTCTCCTTTACAAGCACACTCAACACACAGGGATCCTAACCCTCTATGACCGGCATCAAAGTTATAGGCTACATCTAAAAGATATAAGTTATATCAAATTTATAAGGCTCTTGTGCTCCCCCTGTTCTAATGCTACCCTGGATATCTGCCAATCTACTTCAGTGATAATTCAACGTATAGGCCATGTATTTATCCAGTTTGGATCGCGCTAAATAGAATGGAACAGAATAGAAAATCCCTCTATAGTACCACAATGGGGAAATTCTGGTGTTTGCAGCAGCAGCAAAGAGATTATAGAAAAAATGGTCACACAATATGGACCTTAGAAAGATAGTTAAAAGATAAACAATAAAATAGTGGTCTATAATGTTTTTTTTTTTAACAATATAACAACTGTTCACCTGGAGAATAAATAACCAATTTACAGCTATGGACATTTTTACAGTAATGGATATTTGAAAATAGCAACGTCAGAGATATGCAAAATGACAGCAGCATGTTATTTAACTGACTAAGATAGAAACTGTGGAAAATCAGCATTAATGTAGCAATTTATTGAGGTTGTTGGGAACAGTGGTGGTTATAAAGTCGTACAGCTGCTGGGAGGAAGGATCTGTGATAACGCTCCCTTGTGCATTTAGGATTAAGCCGTCTGTCATTGAAGGAGCTCTCCAATTCTGCAAAAGCTTCAAGCATGGGGTGGCAGACATTATCCAACAGAGATGTTCATTTACTTAGAATGCTTTAGTTTCCCAACTCCTGCACTGAGTCCAGAGGGCATCCAATCAGAGCTGGCCTTCCTGATCAGCTTATCCAGCCGCATTCTCTTAGCTACAGATAGGCCAGTTCTCCAAAAGACAGCTCCATAGAAGATGGCTGATGCCACAATTGAGTCATAGAAGGTCTTTAGGATCACCCCCTTCACTCCAACAGACCTTTGTCTCCTTAGCAGGAAGAATCTGCTGAGTGGTGTCTATCTTCGGCTCTAATTGGGAGAACAGCAGGGTATGCTTTAGAAAGGCGGAATGCATCCTCCATATATTGAATGCAAAACTTAAAATGCTAAACAAAAAAAGGCAGCAAAAACAGGTAAAAAGTGTTTATTAAGTCAATCAATTGTGATCTTAATATAATGGACACTGATAATATAAACATAAAGTATTATAGTTTTTTTTTTTTTTAGCTCATTCAGGGATTTTTCTTATTTAAGAAGGATCAGAACCCTGAGCAAGTCCAATCCAATCCACCAATTCAGTTTTTTGTTGTATTTGTGTTAAAAATCAAAAACTGAAAAGTAACCCAGAATAGAAAATTGTGTGATTAGTAAAATGAGTTGTATGTGCAACCTGACAGAAAAAACAAAACAAAATCAAAATATTCAAAAAGAATAAATATTAAATTTTTGCAAAACCCAGTAATTAGTGGAAAATAACACTCACCTGCCCTCATAATTGTTTGCATTTGCATTGTGCACAAGGTATGGAGGTAATGTTAAATTG